GGAACGAAGTTCCGGGCGGCATAGCTCTGACACTACCGTTTACACCCCCCCCCCCAACCGACTGTGAGGTAAGGGTTGGACTTTGGGGGCTTACAGTACCAGGTGTTCCCAAGCGGTCCCCCATCTAAGTACCATCTTGCATCAGGTTGAACAGTGTGAGTACCCACTGAATATAAAACCCGGCATGTTAGAGTGGGCGATTATCTGTACTGGAAAATATGCAATATGTACGGGAAAGAAACTGTAAGAAATTGGTATGGACATCACTCAGACCCGGTTACGGAGATAGGTCCTGTAAGAATTTTATGGTATTTTACAATACACATAGACTGAACAATCAAAGCTAATTGCCCAGACATCTTGTGATCAAAGAACACAAAAACAGAATATGCATTCTTATTGGCATTCCCTGTAGATTGTAATGTATGTCTGAAGATCTTCAAAAACAATCAAAATACAAGGTTCTTGAAGTGGCCAATGGAGGACATGAACAATTCCAGTTACAGTAGAGACATTGGACTGATTGGAAAAGATTCCGATAGACTCATTAAAGGGATTCCTGGAAGTCCATGCTTTAAACAAATGCAAAAAATTGTATTCACAAGAACAGCTCACATATTATGAAGAGCTTTATCTATGTAAAATGTGTTTGATCTTAGGGTTTTCTTTTAGACAAATAATCATTGAAAATGTCATGAAGCCATTTCTAACCTTAGATCTCTGGTTGGAACCCGTAAAGAAATGTGTATACAACAGAAATACAAGGTAATAATAATAATGTGGCAAAAAATGTTCTACCTATTTTTAATAATGCTTTGAAATCGTCTAAAATATCTGATGTGTTCTGAAAAGTGAAAAATCTGAAATAATATGGCGTGATCCTTTTATTGAAAATATATAAAATATAGAATATGGGATTTTAATTTTATTGTGATATATTCATATGTATGCATGTATGTATGCATATATATATATATATATATATATATATATATATATATATATATATATATGTATTAATTTGTAACTCTCTAATGTCGTAGAGGAACCGGATATACTGCTGAAGCAGTAGAAGTGGTATTTCCTAGGCAAGACCGAGACCAACCCGCACCAAAATGGTTTTGATTTTTTTCTTCTCCTAGACCGGTTGCCAGTCAAGGCTACAGGACCCAGTCAGTCCTTCTATTTACCTATAGTTGGAAGGAGAGGTGATAGATTAATTCCTTTCCCAAGGGTATTAGAACATAAATGAATGCAATGAACTCGACTGGAATTCGAACTCTGCAATCCATCGCCACATCATACCTCCGTTTCTTCGTCTCGTTTTCTATATTATAATTCAATGCTAGGATAATTGTTACATGATTAGCTGTAATAGTCATAGTCGTGATGATTTAGCTGATAATCGACCAAATCGTAACGTCTGTCTATTATATTTACTCGTTTAACTTTGATTTTTTTTTCCTATCTTAATTGTCTTAAAAGAAAATGAAAAAAAAAAACTTGGGTTTCGAACATAACTTCATTCCATGTTAGACAACACGTAATTAAAGATACGACGTTACGAGAATGTATTTTGATTTTTTTTTTTTTTTTTTTTTTTGTGATAAGCATTTTGATTATCGTGTTTTGTTTTCGGTTTTATTTCTGGTAATTTAGATATCTCGTTAATCAAGCCGATGCTCTCCGGAACTAGGGTACACACTGATTGTCGGCATAAGCCCTAATTATGGCGGCAGAGAAAGGGCTCGACCAGCCGATGGTGATTAATTGTTTATTTCTTGTTACTTATTCGTTACACATCTGATGATTGGGCTCTGTTTACTTTCTCTCCCCAAATGAAACACACAAACACCGACATATATATATATATATATATATATATATATATATAGATAGATAGATAGATAGATAGATATGGATAATACACACACACACACACACGCACATACACAGACACACACACACATATATATGGATAACACACAGAGACACCGATATATATATATATATATATATATATATATATATACGTGCGTGTATGGAATCCATATACAGACATATATAGATAACACACAAACACAAACCTATGCAGATAAAACGCACACACACGCACACACACATACACACAGATAGATAGATAGATAGATAGATGGAAAGAGACAGAGAGTGCGTGAGTGTGAGAGAAAGTGGGAGCGGGAGAGAGACCGATTGAGCGAGAGAGCTTTGAGTTCTTAGTGAGTAAGTTTGTCTCGTAAACTCTTGTTATTTTGTAGTGAGTACGCTCTTCTTTGTTGGGGCGAGGGCTTAATTGTGGCCTTGTGCCAGACCAAACTTACCTAAACTTAGCAAATACATATATATATATATATATATATATATATATATATATATATATATATATATATATATATATTAAAAAGAAGAGAGGTGCCGCAAACGTTTTTTGTTGTAATGTGGATTTATTTAGAAAAAAAAATATTATGCTTTGTTTTACATAATTTTACTACGACACGTGTTTCTGGTCTCGCGACCGTCTTCAGGTAAAAGTGGAGATTTCTACATATTATTAAAAATAATTAATTTTTCTTCATGTTCAATGTGAAATGTTCTCGATATGAGACATTCTCTGTTTGTGTGTTGGCAATCCGAATTTTCTTTTATATATATATATATATATATATATATATAAGAAAGTGATCAGGGGTGAATCAAACCAGGAAAGAGCAGTATTAAAAAGTACTCAATCCACGTATTAAAAAAAAAAATATCAGTAAAAATAGCATGTAGAGCTTTTAACCAAGGCAGCGGATAAAACTGGTCTCCTGATTTTTTTAAAAAATATCTCTCTTCCTCTCTCTCTCTCTCTTTCTCTCTCTCTCTCTTTCTCTCTCTCTCTCTCTCTCTATATATATATATATATATAAAAATGAAAGAACGATAAACATACAAACAGGGCGAAATAAATCGTCCATTGCCTTAAGTTTTTAGTCCAAAGAAAAAAAAAAAAAACAAACGAGTAACAAAGCTAAAACTTAGAGTGCTCAATACGCTAAGCAGAGCTGGGATAAATGAAATAAATCCTAAACAGCCAGGAAGAACCTACCTAGGTTTCACCTAAACAGATCTTCAGGGTAAGCCGTTTAGTTGAAACCTAGATAGATTTTTCCTGGCTCTTTAGGATTTATTTCATATATATATATATATATGTGTGTGTGTGTGTGTGTGTGTTTGTGTGTGTGTGCCTAAATACACTATATACATATGTATGTATATATATATATATATATGCCTAAATACACTATATATATATATATATATATATATATATATATATATATATATATATATATATTGTATTTAGGCAGAAATCTTTCTTTTTATGCACATTTCGTTGAATAGGACAGAGAAGGTGATTAGATTTAGTTTTTTATACAATTTCTCATGCGATGTAATAATTTTTCTCTTTTTAGATGATAAATTTTATAAAAAAACTATCCGAATGTTCTTTTTATCCGACCGCTTTCATATAATTTATCATCTGAAAAGAAAAAAAATATTAGAACACGTGAGAAATTGTATGAAAAAATAAATCAAAGCACCTTGTCCTATTCAATGAATATATATATATATATACATATATATACATTTTAAAAAATTAAAAAATTAATAATTAATAATTCAAATTTCAATTTAAAATTTCAATTGCGAAGAACCCTAGTGGCTAAATAAGCTAAAAAGTTTTCATAATATGTTTCAAGGGGGATAACTCTTTATTTTTGCCTGGGGTAAACACTAAAAAGGTGACAGCTATAATAAAAACAACAATAGGTAACAGCAATAATAATAATAATAGGTAATAGGAATATTAATAATAGTATATGTGGGGTCCGTATGAGAAAATGGGTCAACGTGCTTGATCATGTATTTGTTTCTAGGTCTGCATGTGATAATTAATTCACTTTTTTTGTTTAACACATTAGTGTGATCTATATGTTTTCGCAAAAGACAAATTACATTTATTAACTTTTTCGTTGAAAGGTTTGGCTTTTGATACGCAATCTCAGGTAATCGTTGGGTTTTTAGTGCCGAAAGAATTAGAGAGGGTATTGCTGTTACTACATTTAATATTACCTAATGTCATTTGGTGATGTTAGAAACGTTATTTCCAATGGTTTTCAGTAGAACCAAAATAGAATTTGACATCGCCGCCATGTTTGATGCTAGCTCTATAAATTATAGCTTTAGTCATGTAATTGCCATTCAGCGGGAAGGTCTTGTTTTTTGGTAGTTGTATTTTATTAGTTGTGAGGTTAGCTTTATCTTGTCGGTTAGTTAATTGCTTGTTTAGTATAATACTTTTGTGCTGTAATATATATTGGACAATGTTTTTAGTACAACTATAGCTGAATTTAACTTTTTATTGAAAATCTTTTTTTAGCATTGAAATGCTTATGGGTTAAACATTTTGTTTGTTTGTTTGTTTCTTTCTTTCTTTCTCTCTTTCTTTCTTTCTTTCCCTTGACGATGTTCTTTCTTTCTTTCTTTCCCTTGACGATGGTCTTTCTTTCTTTCTTTCTTTCTTTCTTTCTTTTATTCAATTCGTTCTTTTTTCTTTTATCTTTTTTATCTTTATTTCACTTTATCTTTATTTTGTTTATGGTTTCTATCAATACTTTTCTCTCTCTCTCTCTCTCTCTCTCTCTCTCTGTTGGCAATGTTCTTTCTACCTTCTTTCTTTCTTTCTTTCTTTCTTTCTTTCTTTCTTTCTTTCCCTTGACGATGTTCTTTCTTTCCCTTGACGATGGTCTTTCTTTCTTTCTTTCTTTCTTTCTTTCTTTCTTTCTTTCCCTTGACGATGTTCTTTCTTTCTTTCTTTCCCTTGACGATGGTCTTTCTTTCTTTATTTCTTTCTTTCTTTCTTTCTTTCTTTTATTCAATTCGTTCTTTTTTCTTTTATTTTTTTTTTATCTTTATTTCACTTTATCTTTATTTTGTTT